TCTAATTCACCAAAGTGAAATTAAACCATCAAACCGAAAACCCTAAGGTGGCTAGGCAAGAAAAACAACACGGATTCACTTGGGTTTGCAGAATGCTAAAAAGTTTTTCTCATTTTAGTTAGGTCAACATTTAATCGACCAGTTTGATGTGGATCCAGATTCCCACCCACCAGGTTTGGTTGGAGTGGGCTTAAACAAAGATTCGGGCACGAAATCTTGGATTAAGCATTCCACTCCAGTCTGTTATTATTATTGTTTGAAGGTTGTTTCCCAGCACGCGGAAATAATTGTAGTTGTTGAGTGGAGAAAATTCGCAAAAAAATATAACCACGCAGAAAAAAAACGCAACTAATTCACTCGCGTCGTGCTAAAATGGGACATGTAATCATGCACCACACTCGGGTATACGATTTGAACCCAATTTCGTAAAATTTTTGCGAATGTAATCTTCAGCACATATATTGTTGCATGCGAAGTTGGTTTGATTGCATGAATTGGTTCCCCGGTTGGAGCAGGATATGGAGGGGACATGATTGGAACGCAAGTTTATGACTACATTAGTGTCACATAAAATGGGGAGAAGACCCAATTGTTATGTGGCTTCTGTGCTGCTCTTATACTGGGTTGGAGATGTTGCACACATTGAATTGAGACATTTTATGGTGTGGATAGGCTAAAACAATGCAATAGGCAACCTATTTTTATATACTGACGGGTGACTGTTTTCTACTTTAAGCCGAGGGAGAGGAAATGCAGTCAATATCGATTTAACCGAAACCACTAGTGGTAGTGGTGACTTTGCTTTGTTGATATTGCTGTCTCATTATCAGTGCAAAGTATCATTTGGTTACGAGAACAGACTTATTTGTTATATGAAAAAAGAGTGCAATAATCGTTAAGTATTTGGTTGAGGGGATACAAAATAAGGAATTTTTTGCGTCCGCAATTTGGACATTGATACCAATCTTGGTATGTAGAAGATGGGTTAAAGAGATCAGTTTTCTGTATAAGCTATACATAGAATTATTTGATTGAGAGGGCCTTGTGCCTTGTGCTTATCCAGGATTAGCTAAAAATAAGCAGAGAAGGATAAATTTATTTTGGGAGAAAAAGATATACATAAAATTGCATCGTTCTTGATTTATTCATTACGCACGTTTCTCATCAAACATCAAAGTGTATGTATGCAGTTGGGCATAAAACTCATAATTGACACTATCAAGGCCGATCTCCCAAAATACCATGTCATTTCGTTACGTCGAAAGCCATGACATTTACTTCAAACGATGTATGTAAACCTGAATAAAAATGGAGGAAGAATAGTCAACTGACAAATTTTATTTTCACATTTTCGCTTTCACCCTTCAAAAGTCAGTCATCGTTCCAATATTCATAAAAGATTATGATGATGACACCATCGCCGTCATAATCGACAACTATAACAGCAATGAACTGGAAATGAGATCATGGGCTCGGTCGATACTTATTTTCTGCAAATGAAAATTGTTAAGAAATTTAATATTTTGAAAGCCTTTCTTCTGAAATATAATGCATTAAAAAAACTTTAATCTGTCCATCGCAGATAAATAAAATTCACTTTTTAAAAAAACTTTAAACTTCTAATACGCTGATGAAGAACGAAACCGTAAATAATACCCAACGAAATCATGACTTTGAGACACACCTCCAGCCTAATTTTGTTCCATGTGTTCATGAAAACTGCGGAAGTGCAAAAGTATGCCAGTCAGTCAGTTCAGTTGAAGGCTGAACCGCAGCCAAACTAAACTCGCAATTTTCAACATTTCATTATTCCCTACGTGCCGAGTGCTGTATTGCCACATGAGCAGGAGGACTGACTAAATAACCGACAGGCGAGGGTACACCCGTTCAATCCCAGTTAAAATGTTTGTTACGCAACACAACTTTTCCGTTTTTACACATCAACTGCAGATGATCAACTATGTACTCCGAGGCACGGAGGAAATTTAGGAGGTGGAGATAACCATTTAGATTATGCACGTCTTAGATATTTAAATGTGATATGCTTTACGGCGGGGTTACCACCTGCATTAACTTTCTCTTTTACCGCGTATAAAAACCCGACATTATGTAAATGGATAATATTCATAATAGATTGCGTCACATTATTCCTTTCAAAGCCAAACTTGCTTCTTCTTAAGTGGAAATGTTCAAAAGTTATCAAGTTTCCAGGATAATACTGCTCCTGCAAGGTGCCTGGCTGGGCTTGAGTGGAACGTGGAAAGAGGGAGGAGGAGGGGAAGGGAAAGTGAAAGTGAAAGCGAAAATGGCATGGAGGGCAAAAGGTAATTTGGGAATCCGACTCTCTGCCTTCGACACCCACATTTTACATTAACCTAGAAATTTCCAGTAATAAAAAGACCAGGCGAAAGATATCATTATATTACACGAGAGAAAGAGGCGGAGGACGGGTTGCGCGTAAGATATTACTTTCTCCATCACCGTAGAATACGTACGTACCGAAAGGATCCGTTCTGTAGACTTGGTAGGTGCCCACCGTCCCGTTTATTTAGATAAAGTGGCAAAAGCCTGAACAAAAAATGGCATATTAACGTGGTATACTATCGTGATGTATTAATTTTGATTTGTTAATTCATTTTTTTTATTCTGTGAAAGTTATACTTATATAATTAACAATAACACGTAACAACTACTACTATTGATCCACTTCCTCTGGTTTCACAGTAATAATAACCCGGCAACGATACTCGTTAGCAATCCACTGCAATAATAACTCTAGGTCAGTAAGATGTTGATTATCGTAGATCGCTCCCTCGTCTTCATAATTAAAATCATCGTCTCGATTACCACCATGCTCGTACTCTTCCAAAGGAGCTTTAAACGTGTCACTATTTGGTCTTCTATTAGATAAAAATCTAGTGTCTAATCTACAGTTAACATTAACAAAGTCTTGTCGGTTGTCTGGTCTAGGTGCATGCAAATAGCCGACAATAACTGATCCTAAAATTGTAAAAAACTCAGCCTTTTCCATATCGTCCCTGTCGAACAAAATCCGTCGTGGTTCAAAGTTAAACCTGTGTCCTCTTTCCTTACATGCAAACAGGAGAGTTTTGTGGACATGCTTTTCGTAAAACCTTTTCTTCCCCCAGTCCATCGTTAGTCCTCTATATTCGAAATGCATGTTTGACTCCCGGTATAAAACAATTTTTGATTCTTGGAGGGATTCTTCGTTAAATGGTACACCGAACAAGTCAGAAAGACCAATCGATTGCAGATCTTCATCTGATACAATTCCTTCTAAGCTAATTGTGACTCCCATAGAATTAAGTAAGGTTGAAAGTTGGTCGTGTAAGTTTACAGGAAGTACAATATGGTCCGACACGAATTCGTAGTTCGAATCGTTTAACGCAAATATAAGGTGACAGAACTGTAAACAAAATGTCACGTATTATGTTTTGAAAGTAATTTATATATGTCAATTCATAATTATTATGCACCTGGAGACACGCGATTTTCTCTACTGCTGCTTGGTATTCAGTAAAAATCCACGCCTCTGTGACGACGGATGCCACATTTGGAGTGTAAGAAGCTTTGTGCTGACGCCATACATTTTGCAGATATTTCATCATCCTTGCATTATTCCATTCCAGATTTGCCGAAACTTGGAACTGAACATATCGATAAGGGTGGTTTCCAATTTTTTCCTCACCATCGTCATCTTCTTCAACGCGGGTTATTTCCAAAACCACATGCATGTCAGTGGCATAATGTCTCGAACAGTTTGAAAAGTGAACCGAAATAACTTCCTTTTCTGACCTAAAACAAGCTGTGACAGAAAGATAATTATCATTAAATATCAATTCTTTTATTTATTAAACATTATCATCTTACCTGGACTCCTACACAGCATGAACCTCCCCTTATTGTAGATTTGACGAAAGCAGTTGGCCTCATGATCATACAAAACATGACATTCTGCCCCCCTCAGGCTGATCAGGGGTAATCCCAATGGATCGCCTGTCAAAAGTTCAAGGAAATTCACAAATTCCAGCACATCCTCTTGGGTATGATTTTGCCCATCCTCGTCTCCTCTCGCACGGGAATAAGTGTTCCACAAGTCTCTCATCTGATCAGCGACTGAATCTGAAAGATTTTTATGAGGAGCACAATTTATCTAATATTGTGTTACCTGTTATGGTGTGTCCGATAGGTTGCTGACCCTTTATTGTACGAATGAAAGGGGCCAAACTATAGAGTTGAACAGACCGAGGAATGATAATATTGGCTAAAGGGACGTCATCGTCTATGCCCATCGTATCTGTAAAAATTGTTCACCCAATTAATCATCACCACGTTTTTAATTATTTTTATCATCATACCATCGTATAAGATATCGTCCGGTTGAAAAATATGTGAGAATGGCACTTGCGCCTCCTTAGTCGCCGCCACAATTGTCTCCAACATCAAAACTTGCGGTCTGGTGAGTTGTGGATAAGGAGTTGAAAATAATTCTAAAATCCTGTCAAGTACAGCCTGGTCAACTGCATCCAGTGGTCCCACCTCCTCCTCGGTCTGCATAACATGATGGCTGATGGAATAGTTCGAAATTTTAATTAATATAAAGTCTTATGTACAATTTTTAAATTACAAATAAATTAAATAAATTAAATTACTTACATCGGGAATGCCATTTCGTCGAAGTAATTATGTGGTATTTCCGACGCACCGATATCCACCCGTACTAAAATTTCCAAAGTTTGTTGTCGGTGTTATAAAATTAAATCAGCGTGAATTCTGAACTGTCAAACTCATATAAACAAAAAAAACTAAACATACCGGTGAACTAAAAGGGCGAAGTGGCAATTACACAAAGTATGTTTTCCTATGCAAAGAATGAGGGACAAGATGGCTCTCATGCATCATAATTTTGAGAGTTGGTTGATTTTCATGGTCTCGTTGACTCTATATTACTTTAACCTCATTGGAATGAATATACCTACCGAATGGATCCGTCCTATAGACTTGATAAGAAGTGGCAATGGGCAATGAACGCAAAAGAAGAAATGATGATGGGAGTAGTTGCAAAAAATGGAATTGGGCCGTCACAACACTCTTTATCGCCGATAAAAACAAAATAATCACAAATATTTCTAAAATAAAGTGACGACTGAGGAAAGGGATCATTATATTAAAAGTTTTGATGAGCTTTTTTACCACCAGGGTAACTTTAACCTCCAAAATGGGAAACAAGTCCATGTGTGGAATTACACATGATTTAGTGGAGCAATGGGTCACATTTTGTTCAACACCCACTTAACACTTTGGCCTTTGGCGAATGGTCACGGTTGGTTGGGTGCCATTTGAGTGGGTGTACTATACATTTCACAGGTGAGTGTGTGTGTGTCTTACAGCAATTTAGTAACGTACAGATCGTTAAGCTGGGCATGTAGTATCATTGGATTAAGAACACGTTGCTGACACTGTACATCCATACGCCATAGGTGGAAGAGAAAGTTGGCTTGCATTTCTCTCGCCTATTTCTTCATTCACCTCACTAACGACCTTTTAGACCGTTAGGTTGCTTTTACACACTCGATCCTTTTCCCACGTGTGTACGTTGACCGGATTCACCTCACAATCGGATCTTCACCACTTCACATTTCACCACCAACCTTTTTTCTTCCTCTTCTCAACCGTTTAATCTAAACACTTCCTCGTCCACATACACATCCACCCACACTCATCGCTCGACTATTATTATCGTGTCGAGTAAGTTATAAAACAAGTCTCGTTCACGAGATGTGGGGCAATTTTGATCCTTCAGAAAGGTTGAAAGTGTTGGGGACATGTAGACTACTTAATTTTCCAGCCTCGTCCTTCCTCACCACGTCCACGACGATCCCGCTACCCAACGCTATTCTGTCTCGACCCAGTCACTATAACCCAGAGAGAGATAAGAGATGCCGGTCAACCAGAAAGGCGACGACAAGCAGGGTACACACTACATTTTCCGCGTCGAGACTGGGCGAAGTACACATTATACAACCTTGTTATGGGAAAAGTGCTAAATTACTCTCATTTCGGGCAAGGTTCTCTCCACGCTAAGCCAGCCAGAGTGAGTGGGTGATGGTCGTTTTCTTCGGCGGATTCACTAACTATACACAGAGTCATGAAGAAGGAGCTGCTTGTCTTAACCTCGCGGAGAAAGTAAACTAAACTGCAACCACTTTCGTACCATTAGGCTCCTGACAAGAGAATACGCGGGGCTAAACCACAAAGGCGATTTTCTTCCTAAAGTTGTAGCAATATCGCGACCAACCCCGTCGCAGCACTTGAGTCATAATGAAACAACACTTCGGCTTCAGTGAGCACCTTTCCAAAGTTAAACTGTCCTTCTTGCTGACATGAAATGAAATTGGACCCATTCCTCTGAGGCGTTTGAGGGCATTTTCGACTACTACTAGACACACATACGTGTCCAGTCTGACCGGCCTCCAATGTGCGAGATGCCCCAAAATTTCATCTTATTCTCGCATGTAATAATACAAACTACGTGTTGGAATTCCGTGTATGTATTTCTTGCTCTCTGGTCGGGTCGCGAGTGTAATATGCAATCGTCCTTCTGGTGGGTTTAGTAGGATGTGGGGCAGCAGAACAACTTCTTCTTCTCAAGCTGGTCACAGCTTATTACGAAATTAACTCTCTCTTTCTCTCAGTCTATCGTGGACGGCCAGAATCTCATAAATCTTCAAAAATTGCTGCACTCAACAGTAAATATAGGGACAGTATAAAAACGGTTAACTTCTGAGACTTGGTGGTGGTGGACGTGGAGGTTCTTCTTTTAGGTTGACAGTGCCAGGAGAAAGAAATGAAATTGATGATTTTTTTGGGGGGGAGGGGAAGAAAACGAATATTTATCCAATTCGATATTGCAAAAAGTCAATTCCCTCTCTCCTTTCTTTGTCCTTTACCACCAGCGAGCTCGGCAAAAGTGACATTGAATGAGTAACTGCATCCAGAGAATTGCGAATATGGCAGAAGGAGATGAAGACTCGTGCTGATTTTTAATAACATCGAACTGAACTCCAACTCTCTGGAAGAAACAGTTGTGTCTCGTGTATTCATATTATCGCTGATGGAAATCGTCAATCTTGCCTCTGTTAATCGTACAGTTGTTACCAGTACAAAAGTATACTTGGCAAATGTTCATATCTCTACTTTTTGTACGACAAGGTGACTAAAAATAACTGCACGACTATCAAAGTCACTCTCTCTTTCTGATATAAATACATGGCTTCGCTGTACATAGATTTTCTTATTATGCACACTTTGCCACTCGTGAGATGATGTTTATTTCCCTGGATTTCATCCTGTCACAACAGCTCGAGAACTTTTTAGGAGCACTTGCCGACTTTTGACTGCATAATAACCGACATTCTTAAGTAAATAATGCAGTCGGACCCATAATCCAGTATGCAATTCATACTTATCCCTTGATTACAAACTACTGTACGGCTCGATTTTAGATTATAAATTCAGAATGATTTAGTAATCAGATATTTCTTGCTTGTATTTAATATGGGATTCGTTCTCCGAAAACGATAAATTATTCTGACACGCCACACACACACTCGTACAATCACATACCGCACCACTTGCAGCGTTTGATCTACGACTCTACATCGTGTTCCAATTTCACACTAGTAATGTCTCTCTCGCTCTGTCTTTCCGGGTACATTATTGCAGAAGAAGTTCATCCCAGTCCCATTATCCGGTAATAATTACGTGAATGCAAATAAAGTATGTGCTTCCTCTCGTCGTAAATACTGCATCGTCTCGGTTCACACACTTTACATAAAAAATCTTTTTCTTCTTAAAATATTGTGGAACTGGCTCATCCATGAAATTAGGGATTTTCTATATATTCCACTTCTTGAACATGCTTTTGTTCCCCGTCAACCAAACCAGAACCGTCAATCGATACTCACTCGCACTTTTGTGTGCATTGTCTGTCGGCGATTCGTTCGTCTTTGAAAGGAAGACTTAACAATTTAAAAGTCAAGTGTTTCCTCCTTTGAAATGCATTATTGTTTATTTCACATCCACACAAAAATTCGGTAGACGTGTGTATGTTTGCATTATGCACATCAACGCACCCCCACCATGAGTAAGTAGCGCTGATGTGTACTCAGGGATGGGCAATCCCAACAATTTCGATGGATTACGGATTACAGATTAATTGATTTAAAAATTTACATGGGATTACGGGATTGGGATTACTTCGTTCCGGAAATACTGTGGATTACTTGTTGGATTACTGGGATAAATTAATGACGTGGATTACGGATTACGGATTACAGTAATCAGATTACGGATTACTATCTGGATTACAAAAATCTATATTTATGTATTAAGGGGTGAAGAGAAGCGAAATCCCTTTATGGAAAAGTGTTGGCCGTCGGTCTGTATCCACGATAACTTTAGAACGGTTTCGAATTTCAACATGCGATTTTCGACAACGGGTTTCTAATGTTTGAGGTACGGATGAGTTAGAAAATGGGAATTGTAGGTCATAAGGTCCCAGTGCCACGGTGACGACGCCACGGGTCAAACGTGTCGAATTTTTGTTTGCCGCTTTAGACGTAGTTTCGGGCGAGGATTACAAAAATCTTCATAGTTTTGACGTGACACGAGTCATGTCACATGACCGAGTGACCGTGTCGACGACGCAAAAGTCGAAAATGTCGAATTTTTGTCTTGATCATTTTAGACGTAGTTCTAGGCGGGGGTTTAAAAAATAAAATCTAGACATAGTTTTGGTATGCCATGACCGGGTGACCGTCTCACTCCACCCCTTTGATATATTTCGTTTGCAACGGTTTATTCTGAAATTCAAAATCTGAATAGCGTCACACTTATATTCCATGATGATGATTAGTTCAAAAAACAAGAGCTTGGAATGATTCATCCGACAGTCGGTTTCTTAGGGCAGACAAAAATGTGTTGTAGTAAATAGACCCCTCTTAACTGTTCCAAAATTCTATAAACTTCGCACCTCTGCTGAAGAATCCAGAAGGTAGTTTAAGAACTCAAGTTCTGGAAGCGACTCAGACTCAGAGAAGTTGCAAGATGGAGCTGTCATGCCGTTTACATAAGCAAAGTAATCCAAAGTAATCCGTAATCTGATTACATTTTCCAATTTCGTAAATTGGGGATTACGGATTACACATAATTTCCAGACCTAAGTAGGATTACGGACTACGGATTACTTTAAAATGTTAATTTTTCGTGGATTACTGGATTACGGATTACATTCAATGTAATCTGATTACTTAATCTGATTAAAGTAATCCTGGGATTGCCCATCCCTGTGTGTACTTACTACTTATGCTCTTACTGGTCGGTTTAAAAAGAAGGAAATCATTCAACTTCAACTTCAACTGGGTTTATCTCCGCTGTAAATCTAGATCCGAATTTGAACGCGAAGTGAGTGAGTGAGTGAGTGGCAGTAGAAAATTCAAGAGGCCATAAGAAAAGGAATTCTTAATGTTAATGTGCGTTCTGTGTTTCAATAAGAGGGCTAATGTCAAAGTGAGTCTGGAGGAAAGAGTTGGTTGGTTGGCTGCATCGTTGTTGGTAATTGTAAATGCTAATGTCCCTTCCGAAATGCATTGCTCTTTTGAATAAGTGTTGTCTAGCGTAAAGTGTTGTGCAGTGTGTTTTAAATTTCCGAATGTGTTATCTTAACTCTAAAATCGCTAAATCTTAAACCCTCTCTGCCCACTCTGGACAAGGTTAACTTTTCTCCTTCTTGGTAAAGTGTTTGCACAGTTAAGAAGAAGATAAGGTGGTGGTGGTGGAAGTGGAGGGACTTGTGCGGTTGGTGTAGGCAGATGATAAAACACACTGCAGAGAGTATGTGTCAACCAAGTAAAGAATCCAAGACAGAAAGACAAACAACGCAATTCCTCCTTTGAAGCGGCTTCTTCTTGAGTAAATGACTTAAATGCAAGGCGGAAACAGGGAAACGCATTTGGAAACAAAGGAAAGACAATTAGAATTTAAATAGAAAGAGAGAGAGAGAGCGATTAGAGAATGTAAATTCAGAGAAGTAAGATAGCAGAGGAGATGTTGTCTCGTAATGCCGTTGAGTAAGACCTCGTTGTATAAACTGTCTATGGATCTCACTCTATTTCAATAGGACGAGTTTCAAACTTATTTAGGACCACCAATGAATATTTGGCAAAATAAGTAAAGGATACGTAAACGACGTCTCGTGACGTGCTTTTCTTGCTACCAAATCAACCCGTTATATAACGTGTGTATATAATGCATGCAAAAAACTATATGTCTCTGTCCAGCTCAAACTATCGGGTTTAATACCCCCCAGACTTCGGCTGAGCTTTTGCCCGTCAATCATGCCGAAAATTACGATTTTGACACTTTTGGCGTAATTAGTAGCGCGTATTAGCACGAAGGCAACGTAATGATGGAGTGTATATATATTATTACTTACATATAAGCTAATAATATGTATCCCCATGTTGAAAATAGTGTAATGTTATAGCGTTACGAAATCCTATTATGATCCAGCTTCTGTTTCATGTGAAAGTATGGAGAGAAACAATGCTTTCATTATGCGCGTGACTTGATAGATTGATATTTTCAATGAGGGCTCTTATACATCAAGTAAGTCGCCTGTTCACTCACGAGAGGAGTCAACGACTATGCGAAATCTGGTAAATTTCAAGATCTCCAGCATAAATTCTATCCCTTGTCTGATGAATATGAGGCACGTGTCTTTTCGTGATGCATAATTTATCTCTACTCCTCATTATTAAACCATAATCTTAAACCGCATGCACAGCTAGAATTATGTACATGCTTTCCAGTATATTAAATAAAGCTGGGTCACTTGAGTATAATAACTCGCAGAATTATAAATAACTTGAAAAATAAGCCTACATATATAAATAAGCCTGTAACTATACAACATCCATATCAAGGACGTACTATGTCAATAACCATCCCGCCACGTGTGCGAAGAACAATGAAGTGAAAGCACTACTACCACCACATAAAAAAATCTCAAGGAAAGCGGAAGTTTGCGAAAAAAACTCATCCTCTGATTCATTTTTGCAACTAGGAGGATTGGGAGTACTACTAACCCCTCCACCCATTTTAACTCGGCTTCCTTACAAAGAAAAGGCACTGTATTCATACCCTCGTACCGAGAAAAAGCCTTTGTTTGCCAAATAAAGAAGGAAACAACCTTCTTCTTCTCCACATTATTTTGTTATGATTCCGATCCCACCTTCGCCATCAAACCTTATTTCTTCTTTTCTTCCTACTTAAGTATATGGTTTATGTTTTCCTTTTACTCCACTCCCACCACCGCCGCCATCACATCACATAATCTCACAAAGCATCCGCTATCCGCAATTTTTTGCTTGGAAATCCTCGCTTGTTGTTGGTCCTTCTTAAATGCTATGATACTCTGACAGTGGCCTGTCCTTCTGCTGCTACAGGAGTAGCGTATATGCGAAGGGAGCTTTTCTAAACTTTTTGTGAATTTATTTCCTCTCTTCATACTCGCAAAGAAGTCTTCTTATGCAAAAACTTTGGTTATCAAAGAGATAGTTTTTTTCATCTCGGACTTTTTTTATATTCCTGAAGCAAAAGCAAAAGTGTGGGAGTGAAAACACCAACTGCCGGAAGAGGACGACCTAGTTTACTGCTTGTTGGGTTTGGGTGCATGGTTAGGTTTGAGTAAGATGAGAATGTGCCTTTCACCAGAATAAATATGTATCAGTTCACTGCGTGCATGTTGAATGGTACGACATGAAATCAGATGACAGAAAGTTGGCCAACTTTATAGTAAAACGCTACCAGTTTTCCATCCATTAAATGTGCATATTCTTTAAAGGGGATGATTATTCGGAATGAAATCGTAATATGGTGAAGGTTTATGGATTTTGGTGGTGAGAGAGGAGGATGTGGGCTGACTAAACGTTTGTCAGTTGTACGACTACTGCTTGTATTTCATACCAGAATGAAATGAAATAGTAGACATGAAACTATTCAAAAATAAAAAAAAGTTTGATGGAATAAATGCTGATTGCCGGGCTGGATTTATTTTGATATCTATTCATTTCTTGGGGAAATCTGCATAAGCTTGTCTCAATGGAAGATAAGATACTTGCGACAGAATTGGATTGGAGTCCTTCGCACAACGAGGCTGAGATTTCAAAAGTACAAAACTCATCCCAAAACCAAACCAAACTCGGGCACAACTTTCTCCTGCGAAGCCGCCGACCAAGAATGAAAACTGGGAACAATATATAGTCGTAGCAATAATAATGACACACGAATTCAGGGGAAGGATGAGACTATTTCAGTAGTTCACTTCTAACTCGCGTTTGTCAAGAAAATAGAAGAAAACTCTAAACTAAACTTGCATCCAGCCATTTCTCTTTTATTCCACTGTGAGGTGAAAGTGAAAGAAAATCCGAGTTTTTTTTTCTTCTCAACAACAGCTTGAGATGAGATTTACCCGACGCACCTTAACTCTAAAATATAGAGAGAAGAGCCAGGGTCGCGACAATACCTCACAAGTCGCATAGCACACAATGCCATCAGCAGTAAAGAATATTGGGACAATGTCACATCAAATCTGAGCAGCAGCATCATTCCGCACCAGACTTTCTCCCAGACTGACACTGCACCATCACCACCACCGCCACGGCCACAACTCTATCCCGTCTGTCAAGGACGGCGAAATTGTCGTCGTCATCTTCCCCTTTACTTTACCTAACTCGCAATATTCCGCAAAACAGCTGTGGTTTATCTGTCCCGTAAAGAGTTTTCTTTGATGATTTGGTCATTCAGGATGGGTCTTAGAATGCGGCAAACGAGGGAGAGAGTGAGCATCAAATATTTCTATACTTATTATTTCCTATATGTACTTATTTCTTCTGGGCGGACAGACTGCAGATATGTTTGAAAGGTCGTTGAAAGATGCAGCAATTGAAGAATGTGATGTCTTTCCTACTCCGTCGTCTGGGGTGTGATCCAGCCTTGAAGAGGATGTCGTAACACCATATCCATATATATAAATTTTGACGAAAATGCTCTCCCACGGAAGCCGGGTGAGTGACTTTGTCGCTGGAGAAAGTGAAATTCTACACAAAAATGGGAAATATGTCTACCTACCCACATCACATCCATCCCCCACCCCTTTCATACCGCTTCCCATTCATCACGCCACAATTGTCCGCAATTCCTCTCTAGAGTTTTTGTAATTTTACTCTAAATCCTCAAAACAAGGTTTCCCTCCCTGGACATTTCTCTGGCAAAAGTGAGGAAGAGTTGGTTGTTTCGTTCCTTGATGAAAAGCCTACGACGGGACAACAAGCAACCTTTATTTCTCAATGTCTTTCTCTCCGCCAGGAAGATGATGAAGAACCATTTGATCAAAAATATGAAGGATAAGCGCCCATCAAGTAATTGAACTTTGTAACCTTTGCCACATTACGTTACATACACACTACATTTCCAAGAATGAGACTTGTTCATGTAGAAGAAAAGGGTACACACTCTTCAATCTCAACTTAACTAAAATAAAAAGTAGCAAAGGCAGCGACCACTCCCAGAAGAAATTTACTTTCACTTTTGACTTTATTGTTATGACTGCTCCACGTCACTTTAACCTCTCCACCCACCAAGCAGAGAACCACCACGGAGCTGAGGAGATAGAAATACTCGTCGTGTAATCTTGGACATTTGTCACCATCAAAATCAAGCATCTCTTCTTCTTCTCTCCGTTTGTTTGTTTGTTATGTTGTTGTGGATGGAACGTCGCGACGTTACGTTACGTGGCGTTACGGACACACACATGCTCATACGACGAGTGAGTGAGTGACTTTTGTCAGAGGAAACCAAAGCATTACGCTTTTATGATTTCTACTGGGGACAATAAACCTCTAAACTGTTTACGTCCGAGATTTAATAGTTTGATCTTGATCTCCACTTTATTTTCTGTAAACTGAATCCAAGACGGGAGATGGAGATTTGGGCACGAAATTCGACAATAAAAAGTATTAAATCTTATGTATACTCTTACTTACTACTAAACATTGTATATTATTACGTACATAATGTTAATGTGACCTTGTATAAAAAATTGTTCATAATTTCTTCCCCTAAATGAGTGTAAAAATGGATAAATTTTATTTTTCTTTGGGATCAAACAATAGTGAGTAAGCAGAGTAATAAGTATTTTATGTTGCACAAGATTTAGTTGGAGATTAATTGCATTGATAACACTCTCCTGCGAGTCGTCCATTTCAATTCCCCCAAGGGTTGG